GACTTGTCCTGCAGATCGACAATGCCAAGCTGGCTGCTGATGACTTTAGGCTGAAGTAAGTTCCATGATTTCATATCAATTCTCTTTCACGCTCCACTTATTTAGGAAAGCTCCCACTTACTGGAATTGGTGCCAAGAAGCGAACATTTTCCAACTTTAATGAAAATTTCACAATGACTGTGGTAGTTACTGATTCTACTGATTTGCTCCAAACTGTTGCATTCCAACGATGACAAAAGGCACTGCATTGTACAGGTTTGAGAGCTGTGGTAGTTACTGATTCTAACATTTACTCCAAACTGTTGCATTCCAACGATGACAAAAGGCACTGCATTGTACAGGTTTGAGAACGAACACCTGCTCAGGCAGAGTGTGGAGAGCGACATCACCGGACTGCTCCGTGTCCGTGACGACCTGACCCTGACCAAAGCTGACCTGGAGTCCCAGATTGAGAATATAACCGAGGAACTTGTTTTCCTTAGGAAGAACCACGAGGAGGTGAGAGCAGCTGAGTCTGCCAGGGAGAGGGGCTTTGAGTGGCAAACACAAACAACCTCACTAGGAAGCATTTCTATTCTTCATGGAAGCAGTATAACCATGTGTGACCCTAAGGCACATTCAAGCTGTCAGGGATCAAAGGTTGAACACTCCTCCATTCCAGGAATGAAGGAGTAAAGGTTTTCTCTAAGAAAAATTTATGGTTCAGGAATTGCTATCCCAAAAAGTACACAAATGGGAGCCATGACTTCTGCCCTCATTCCACAATTCCACAGATCGAGTTTTGAGGAAATAGTTTTTATGATACATTTATCTATGATACAACATTTATTGCTATAAAGTAAGTGAACTTTTCTAAGATGAGGTGCACTAAACAGTATTTACAAGGTGATTAAGTTGTCCTGCCCCAAGGTACTATTGAGGATTAGTCCTGTGTGTGTAGATGTTGAGTTTGTGTCCCATGCCCAGGAGTGACAGCTCCTGCAGCTGGTGCTAACACAGTCCCGTTGCTGCAGGACTGTGACAGGCTGCGCAAAGAGGCGGGCGGCTCTGTGAACGTGGCGGTGGATGCTGCTCCAGGCATTGATCTCGCAGCTATCATGGAAAACATGAGAAAGCAATACGAAGAAATGGCAGAAAAGAACCGCCAAGAAGCCAAAGAACATTTTGAAAAGCAGGTAAAGTCAACAGCTTAAACACCAGCAAAAACCTCGTTCATGCCTGGCTGCAGTTCACAGTCCCTCCATTCTCCATTCCAGACAGCAGAACTGAACCAGGAAGTTGCCCTCAATGTTGAGCGGCTGGAGGTGCAAAGGAAAGAGATCACGGAACGGAGACAGGTCTTCCAGAACCTCGAGCTGGAATTACAGTCCCTGCTGACCATGGTAAATAACAAAAAAGCAAAATAAGGACTGTGGATAGCAGAGAGTTACACAGAGGTGTAATAAATAGAGGACAAAAAGATAAATAGAGGAATGAGGGGCTTTACAATCAAAATTATATTGAAAAATTTATCCTCTGAATAATATGTCACTGTTCTTCTCATGCACTATAGAAACAGAGCCTGGAAGGCTCTCTGGCTGAAACGGAAGCACGGTACAGTTACCAGCTTGACCAGATACAGGGAGCAATTTCCAGCCTGGAGGCTCAGCTGAGGCAGCTCCGAGCTGACATGGAGGCTCAGAACAGTGAGTACAGCATCCTGCTGGATGTCAAGACTCGCTTGGAGATGGAGATCGCCACGTACCGCCGGCTGCTGGAGGGAGAGGAAACCGGGTGAGCACACACATGGCTTTGAGTCTTGGTTTGGGTTTTTTGTCAAATCTGCCTCTCTCCAACTGCCTTGGGGTGGGGAAGCACATTGTCCAGTTCTCAGACACAGAATCAGAGCAGGCTGCCGTTCAGGCTGGGCTGCTGAAGCTGCTGTGGAATTTTGAGGTGGCTCTCCCTACAGTCACTCTGTGAGCTGGGGAGTTGGGTAGATGTTCACATGCCAGGAACAGTTTTTGATCAACTTGTCTGTGTGGGTTAAGCAGAAAGTGGAAATTCCCCCCAGATTCTACCTGTTCAGCTGTTCTGGCTCAGGAACTAGATGGGGTGTACCTGTGTGACCTGAAGTCCTGGCATTGCAGAGATGAGTCTGCAGATTAACTGTACCTACAGCTTATGCTTAGCAAGTTTCACTTCAACTGAGAGAACTCGTTTTACTGAGTTATCTTCTGATTCAATGTCTTGATGAAAGGGGATTAGCTGTCCTGATCAAACACATAGGAAATGCACAAGGATGTTCAATACATGAGTTGCCATATATTTACATTTTCTAATTTACAATTTGAACAGGTATTTAGAAGAGATGCCAATAGCAGTAGAGACTGAAAAAGGTATGTCCCACCAACTTCTTTCTGTTTTGATGGTGGCTTGTTGAAATGTTATGGAATGAAGTAGCCTGATACAAAACAACAGCTTCAGAGCAAATAATCAGCCAGTGGAATCTCACATCAAGAAAGCAATCAACTGTTTGGTTACCCTATGAGGACTATACAAACCTGGGTTTATATATACAATTCAGGTGCCCACTATAAAATCACAGAGTCAACTCACCCATTCTGTGATTCTGTGAGTCCTCAGAGAGCCAAGAGAACAAGAGAGAGTTACTGAATTCCCCTCTGGAGAACTGCAGAAGCATCTGCTTCTCCCTGCTAGCTGCACAGGGAGACTGAGACTTCCAAGTAACATATCCAGTTTCATAGCAAAAAGCTCCAATTTGGTGTAAGTCTATTCCAAGGTTTTAGGTCTACAAGTCTGTGCTAAACTGAACCAAAACTATCAAGAGTGCTAGAGAGTTATTGAGTCCAGTATCCACTACAGTCTATGGGCAAAATACTCAATATCCAAAAGAGAAGCCACACCCTACACACTGCAAAAGTTTATCTCAAGGACCTATGAAGATGCTTTTTGATATATCCTCATCAACTTCTACTACTGCAGCAATATTACCTTGCATTAAATTACTTCTCTTTTCAATTTCCTCAACAGAATCAAGTAAGTTTAAGAAGATCAAGACAATAGTTGAGGAGGTGGTTGATGGCAAGGTTGTCTCCTCTGAGGTCAGAGAGGTTGAAGAGAAGATGTAAATGGCACCAGCAGAAAAGATGCCTCTGAGTTCCCTGGAGCTGATGCTCAAAGGAAAAGATTTATAAAGAATCTGATCTACTTCACCCTAAACCCCAGAAAGATTAAAAAATGCCAAAATCTCAAATCTCTTGTTGTCATTGTTGTTTTTGTGGGGGAGAGTTAATAAAAATCTGTAAGTCACAACTCAGAAGACTTTAGGTTTACTTATAGTGACTGAGTACCCTGATGGAAAAAAATCAAATCAGCCTGGTATGAATGTATAATTGCTTCCAACACAGATAAAAATGGAAGTATTAGATTTTTAAAATGCGTTAAGGCACCAATTCAGCACACCTTTTCTGAATGTGAACTCCCACTCATAGTTTCACTTCATTAAAACCTGATTTTCAGATAATAAGTACCAATTTGCTTTTCATAATATATTAACATGAAAAAATAAATTGAAGAAGCCTATTTGATATTTTTCACATTCTGTGAATGATTATGTCACCAGGGACTATGGTAAGCCAAGATATTTTATGGATAAAAATATATTTGAAATTATCTCCCACTCTCTCAAACCTTTCTGTGCCAATAATGTTCTGTGTCCCACAGGGAGGCCCCTGTGCCACACCTGGATTCTCAGTCCCCAGAGTTTACATTTTCCTCTTGAGAACATAAACACACAAAACTCTTCCCTACGAAACCTCACCTGTCCAGAGCTATGTAGTGCACATAAACAGCTGCCAAAGAACTAATCCTCTGCTTTCACTGCCCCGAGTCACTGAGACCAGGCTATCAGCTCATTTCCACACAAATGCTTTACTGACACCTTTGATCTTCCGCTCTTTTCTGCTCCAAAAGCACCCCATGCTCCTGAGTGCGGATAAATCAAAAATTAACACATTTCAGTTGACAAATCCAATGATATAATTAAGCTAGGACAAAGGAAAAACGATTTTCCATTTATCAAAATGACTTCAAAAGAAAAATATACTGGCTTGGGAAGGTTCCCATGCCCAAACCTGCACCCAGAAGCACTGCATTTCATCTTTAGATCTGTATTATGAAGAGCACCAAATACAGAAATCAGATTTCTTATTTTGAGATAACAGCAAACTATTCAGCAGATAGAATGGTCAGTTCCCAGTTCCCAAGTAAAAATTCTTATATGCTATAGACTATAAGCACATCACTCTGAGGTATTTCAGGGATGAAAGGGTTAGGGCATAAACCCAATTCCAAATCCTATTTGGTATAAGTATATTTATATTTTCACATTAATGATCACCCTGCAGCTCACTGAACATCCATGTGCACTTGGACACCTGATGGTCACTTTCCTTACTTCTTATCAAGCATCCAGGAGCACTAATCCAGCAAAGGCTCCTGGCTGAAGGGCATTGTGAAAAGAAAGACATTCCTGCCATACAGGCTGAGAAGCAGGGATCAAAGGGATCACTCTGCTGACTTTGCAAACTCCTGTAAGAACAGCCCCAAATGCAGGAAGCACTGCATCTGCAACGACAAAACAATTATTTAAGAGGGATTTCAATGCAAAAGGAACTTTTTATGCACCATTGCACATGGCAGAACACAATCATGATGTCTCAGCTTCACTCCACCCATTTCCCCTCATACAAATACCTGGAGGGCACCAGATTTCCACTCCCATTGGCAATTTTGTTTGGCACATATCATTTCGGTTGGTCAGAACATACTAAACTGACATCCCCTCCAAACAGGAGGGAGAGAGAGTGAAAGCTCTCCCCAGGAGGTGGGGACTCCTCCTGAAACACCCACTGCTGTCTCTATAAAGCTGCCCCTGCCTGCTCTGCCCTGCTCTCTGCTGTATCCTCCACGGGGCAGATCCAGGCACCTCGAGCACCATGGCCCTTTCCGTGCGCACAAGCGGCGGGTCCCGGCAGTTCTCCTCTCGGAGCGGATTTGGAGGGGGATCTCTGAGGATGTCCAGTTCCAGTGGTGGAGGAGGCTTTGGTGGCAGCGGGCTTGGCTTTGGTGGGGGGTCTGGTGGAGGGTTTGGTGCAGCTTCTCTGCTGGGTTCAAGCTCTGGCTTTGGTGGGGGCTTTGGGGGCAGCTCAGGTGCAGGACTTGGGAGCAGCTTAAGCAGTGGCTTTGGTGGAAGCTTTGGAGGTGGTTTGGGTGGTGGCTATGGAAGTGGCTTAGGCAGTGGGTTTGGGGGAGGTTTGGGAAGTGGTTTTGGCAGCAGTTCAGGTGCTGCTTTTGGAAGTGGCGTTGGTGGTGGCTTAGGGACTGGTTTTGGAGGTGGGTTTGGCCCTGCTGGTGCTGGGGATGGTGGCATTCTTTCTGGCTCAAAAAAAGAGACTATGCAGAACCTCAATGACCGTCTGGCTGCGTATCTGGACAAAGTGAGATCTCTGGAGGATGCCAACACCGAGCTGGAGCGCAAAATCCGTGAATGGTATGAGAAAAATGGCCCTGGCACTGGCACCCCTGGATCTGGAAATGACTACAGTAAATTCTACCCCCTCATTGAAGATCTTCGAAACAAGGTAGCAAAGCAATGTATTTAATGTATCTTTATATTTGTAACTCACTTAATAGTATTAATGAAAATAACAAATTTCTTTGAGAAACCAAGAGCACATTTATCCTTTAGTACTGACACTTGCAGTGACCTCTGTCACCTTGCACTGGTGACGTGGTGAATTTTTCCTGTACATTAAAGCAGTTCTGTAGCTGTGTCACACAGTGATTTGTCTAATCTGAATAAAGGAGAAGGCAGTGATGGAATGCAGTTCTACAAACCCCTGCAGAACACAAAGTTTAAAGCCATTACAAAGCCATGACGTCTTTGGGCTGTAACATCATTCTCTGAATGCTGCTTGTACTCTAGATCATCAATGCAACCATCGACAACGCGAGGATCATTCTGCAGGTTGATAATGCCAGACTGGCTGCTGATGACTTCAGACTGAAGTAAGGATATCTTAATGTTATAAAAACTCCTTAAGGAAAAAATTCTTTAGTACTAAAAATCTCTTTCCTTGTAGAATACCTGTAAGTATAATTATTAAACAGTATTATAATAATTTTGTGTATTAAGTTTTCAAATTAAAGCTAAAATAAAACACATTAATAGCTTGCATTTGACCTCACTGGCCATGTAAAAAATAATATTTAATGCCTTTATGCATAGATATGAGAATGAAGTGGCTCTTCGGCAGAGTGTGGAGGCTGACATCAATGGTCTGCGCAGAGTCCTGGATGAGCTGACCATGACCAGGGCAGATCTGGAGATGCAGATTGAAAGCCTGAATGAAGAACTGGCTTATCTCAAGAAGAATCATGAAGAGGTAATTTTTTTCCTTTGTGAATTCATAACAAGACACATGAAATTGTGAAACATCAAATTACTCCCTTACTTAAGCCAGTGAGAGTTCCTGGGTTTCATTATAGGTTCTGTTTGCTGTTATTTTTTGAGTTTGCTAAGTGAAAGAGAGTGACAAACAATCCACATATCCTTGTCGGAACAGAATTTATATCACATATATTTCTTTACATATATTTTGGTATAACTATTTTGTCTTTCATTAACAGAACCCTCTGTTTATTTTCAATCTCTCCAGGAGCTTCAGGGCATCCAAAGCAGTGAATTTGGCCAAGTCAGTGTGGAAATGGACGCTGCTCCAGGGACTGACCTGACCAAGCTTCTGAATGATATGAGGGGACAGTATGAAGTCATTGCCGAGCAAAACCGTAAAGAGGCCGAAGCGTGGTTCAATGAAAAAGTAAGAACCAGAGAGAGCAAACCCAGCAAAGTGCATGGGAAAATTAGTTCAATACTTGGAACAGTAAATGACACCCCATTCTTCCTTGTCATTTCAGAGCGGGGAGCTAAAAAGGGAAATCTCCACCCATACTGAGCAGCTCCAGTCAGGAAAGAGCGAGATCACAGATTTAAAAAGGACTCTCCAGAGCTTGGAAATAGAGCTGCAGTCTCAGCTCGCCATGGTACGTTCTGGGAAGCTGCTGACTGCTCAAAGCCAATTCGGCAACTTCAAAAGTCTTTTTAGACCTAATCCTATTCCATAGAATTGAGGATTTGCATTTCTTCCCGATTAAATCCTATATTCTTTTAGTTCCTAAATAGCAGGAATATATCTAACTGGATTGCAAAGAGCATGCCACAAAGCAGATGAGTTTTTACACCACATTTAGGGAAATGACAAGGGATGGTTTCCAAACTGGTGTTTTCAAAAAGAAAATAAAACCTTCTGAGTAATGCAGCTGTGCTCACTCTCTTAAACTACTTCACTTGGTTTTGTTAAGAGATTTTTCCCTTAACCAGAGATTATTTAATATCCTTACACAGAAAAAATCCCTGGAAGACACTTTAGCAGAAACAGAAGGTGGTTACTGCGCTCAGCTGTCACAAATCCAAATGCAGATCGGGAACCTGGAGTCCCAGCTTTTCCAGGTCAGGGCTGACATGGAGCGCCAGAATGCGGAGTACCAACAGCTCCTAGACATCAAGACTCGTCTGGAAATGGAGATTGAAACCTACCGGCGCCTGCTGGATGGAGAGTTTGTGTAAGGAACTGGTTGACACAAAATATGTCCTTGGGTTTATTTTCTGTAGCAAAATCCTTTCCAGGAAAAAAAGAGGTGAAATAAGTGGAACATTTTCCAAGCGATGGTAAGGCACATACAGTGATCTGAAATATCACTGTGACTGAGGAGAGTGAGCCATTCTGCTCACTATTTAAATAACCTATCAATGTCACCATGAAAAGGGAATTTATCCTGAGCCTATCGAACATCCTGCAATAGTGCATGTCTCTGATTCCCTTTTAGGGGTGCTGGACAAGCAGTTACACTTGAAAGCTCATCCCTGACAGGGTCCAAATCTCAAACACAATCACTGGACTCTTCTCAAGGTAGGTAGAACTTGATTGAATAAAATTTTGTTTCTAAAGCCATTCTTACAAATCAAATAATACATGTTAACCTGTTTAACTACATCATAGAGTTCATTAAAATCAGAAGCCAATTGGAAAGGACAAGGGGGTACCTGGTCATGTGCTGCTTTGGTTTATCATTTTTAACACATTGATAAATATTTTTTGTTTTGTTCATGATGTTTAGATCCAACCAAAACTAGAAAGATCAAGACAATTGTCGAAGAAGTGGTAGATGGAAAAGTTGTTGCATCCCACGTTAAGGAAGTTGAAGAGAAGATATGAGGCACAATCTGATGTGGCAAAGGATCCATTTGCTCCAAGCCAAAATGGATAAATAATTTTATTCTTTTGTATGAAGTGATAAAACATTTGGCTTTGTACTCAGAATCTTTTAGATAAGACAAAGTTGGCACTTTCATTCCTTGCAGACATACAATACATTTCCTGCTTCACTCTATCAGCATTACCTGTATGATTTCCACGGTGTTCTTTAAAAATATCATCAAATCTCTGTTCAATAACCAGAAATATGAAGCACAGATTTAATCAGATATCTTTAGTAATCAATAGATAAAATAATTTTGCTGTTCTAATCTCATTTTCCAGTTTTCATCCCTAATAAAAAGGACTCAACAAGCTTTAAGGTATTAGTGTCCCTTTATTCTCCACGACCCCCTCCAGCTGTGTGGTGAGCCAGCAATAAAATATGAACATTGAAAGCAGCTAGAATTCAAAGTTCCATAAGTCCTAGGAAAGATACAACTGCTTACACCTTTTGCCTTCAGGAATCTCATAGCCAGGTGTTCCTTTTACACCTGAAAAAAAAAGATAGAAAAAGCAATACCTTGTGTTTGTCTGATGGATTCCTAATTGTTTTCTTATGTAACTGTTCTCATCCCATCAATGGCAAACACTGACAATATTTTGGGTTTAGAACTACACAGAACAAGGATAATTGAGACACTTGTAGAAAAGAGAGTGGACAACAAAACCTTTCCATCTCAGTCCAGGTCAACTGGAAGACAGTCAGCTAAGGAAAAGAAAATCCAAACACAGGATCCTTTCACATGTGCCAACAGACACAGCCAAGAACAGGGAAGCCTTTTTACAGCAGGAGGCTTCTAAGTGGTACAATACTTTGACTTCTAAAAAGATGTGTGCCTTGTGAAAGTTTACTGCCTGTTTTATCATTTCATTGATGTATATTCTCATTTAGAGCTGAAAATGCGTTTCTCTCTTTGCTAAATTTTAAATTTCAATTGAAATGCCAAATTTTTTTACTGCGTATCTGGTATTTTGCACTACTGAAAGAAAAAAAATAAATAAGCAAGAGGTAAAATGAAATAGGTAAGAGCCATTCTTAGCAGACAAGATCCTTGGGATCACACAGTGAGCAGGAAATGAAGAAGCACAGCACACCAGACAACCTGTGCTGGACTTGCCTGGGAGCTGTCAGGAAAGGGGGAAGAACCCCACATACATTGTGTGTCGTGTGTGTTGAGCACACCAACATCTGGCACAGGTTCTGAAACGCCACCAGAGACAACCCAGACCCTTTTCCTGATAGCAGTGATGTGTCTGAAGTGTACATTCACCAGAATTTGCCCTCTGCAGAAGAAGAGCCAAAGCCCTTACCACAAGTTGCACCAGCACTACTCACCACCAGAAGTGCTGGTTCCTCTCCCTCCTTGTTGTGCTTCTGCCCATAAAAGAGGATGCCCAGGAGCCCAGCTCGTTTCTGAAACGGGACAATCCTCAATAGCGGGTCAGGTGAGACACCCGAGGCTGCATCTCACTGAGTCTCAAACACCTTCAGGGATGGAAATTCTGTCACATCCTAACAATGGTGGAGACACCTGCCAGTGACACTGCCAGCAACCCAGCTATGCTGCTGGGAGGCTCTGTCTTTCCATGCCCTCTTGCCAGAGCACTTCATGCTGGGCAGCTGCAACTTTATCCTTTGCTTTCTCTCTCTTACCCTCACATTTCTGAGGTTATAAAACCCCAGAGTTACAGCGTAACAAAAGCCATTAAGACATTGATATATTCATTTCAGCGCTGATTTAGAAATAGTTATTTTAGTCCTATCCTTTGCTGCATGAACCTGCTGCCAGGACGGGCTGACAGGCTCTGAGCCCCCCGCGCTCCCCAAAATGGGCCGCTGCCGCTTTAACGGCCCCGCGGCCGCAGCCCCGCGCCGCCGGCAGCGGAGCCGGGAGCCGGGGAGGATGGGAGGAGGAGGAGGAGGAGGATGGAGCCGGCTCGGCTCCGCCGAGAGATCAGGGCAAAGTATGAATCGCTCATCACCCGAAATCAGATAAAGACCGTCAGCTCAGCAAGGACGCAGGTAATGCCTCCTCACAGCCACACACCTTGCAGAGTACGGAGCCATTCCCTGGCCGTACAGTTCCTCCCGCAGCCTCTATGAGGTACAGTAATTCCTTTCAATGCAGCAGATTTTCGGGGAAGGGACGTGGATTTTACCGCAGTAAGATGTGAACTAGAAGAATCGGAAATAGATTTTGTCAAGGGTATGGATTCACACTGAACGAATGCTGTGTAATTCATCAGGATGCTTTTCTGTCCCTGCAGCCGGGCTATTGCTGGGATTTAAGGGATGATGACATAGGCTGTAGCAGGGTAACCTCTAGCTCCATGTAGTTATCTCAGAGGAAAAAAGAATCCTGAAGAGAATCCTTTTATATGCAGCAGTCTTTGCCATTTTTAGCTCTCTAGTAAAGTACACTGTACCTCTGCAGGAACTATTTTCTATTGCTCACAGTAAAAACTATGTTTTGCTCTTCAGCAAATATCAGTTGTTCTCTCATACAGCTTGATTAAATGTTACCAACACACTATGCTGCTGTTAGGGATTTACATACAAACAGCTCTAAACACAGCTGAAATCAAATGGCAAAACAATTTTGAGCCACCAAATGTAAAGAAATTCAGGGGGCAATCAGGTATTCTACCACCTTGTAGTCAGGTATTGCAGGAATCCCAGAGGTTTGTTTTAAGGACAGGCCAGACGCTGCTGCAGCCTGGCTGATCCACCAGCAGTGCCAGACACACGGCAGCTGCACACCCGACAGGGAAGCCAAGTTTATCTTTGTGTTGGCACAAAGCAGCCAATGCACATTGGTTTGATCCTGTCACACAAATTCTGCAGTACTCAGGCAAGAACGGGGAAGCAAAGAACATTGGGGGGGGTCACTTGTGGATGAGACAAATGTAGAATTATCACAAAAATTATCCTCTGGTAAAGTTGCAATAAGTCAGTATGTACAGGGGAACAAAACCCTTATCTTCCTTAGTTCATAAGACCTGAATTAAAGAGATTTTTTTCTTAAGAGTCAATGTCATCATAAGAACCTGCATAAAGCAGTAAAATATGCAAAAGAGCAAGTGCTGTTTCAAGGGCTTAGGGCATCTTCACCACTTGCAGGGAAACTCAGAACCAAAAAAGAAAAAGAACTTCTGTAAGCCAAACAATGATTCTGGAAGTTACATGCAGGAACACACTATCAAAATCAAAGATAAGTCTAAATCTAAAATGACCCCACAGATGATCAGGAGTGGTTTTAAAAAACTACCTTTAACAGGATAAAAGGAAAAAACCCCAAAACCCTGAAATAAAAAATGCATTAAAATCAAAGCACTTTATTCAAACTTGGAAGCTTGAACCATCTGCACCTCCTCTAAGCCCCTTTACTCCAGAGGTGAGTAAGGTCTCAATACAATTGGGTAATTTGTATGAGAATTCCTCAAGGACAAAGGTGCCAGGGATAGAGATGTGGCCAACTGCTTCCCATCTAACACAGTGGGATAAGGGCTTTCCCTCTACAGAAAATATTAACCCCTCAGCGTGAGCTTTCACACATTTATACAACTCTAACAAAAATTCCAACCAGACTATTTTATGTGCCAATTTATTATCGTTATTTGAATAATTTTAACATTGTTATCTTTTGTATGTCCCCTGTAGTTAGAAGAAGGTACAAGTAAAAGAATGGACAAAGATGCAGAAGCACTAAAGGCAGCCAGAGCAGAACTGTGCGAAGCCCGACGGCAGTGGCACCACATGCAGGTCGAAATCGAGTCTCTCCATGCTGTGGTAAGAGTCAGAAATGAAACTTGAAATCTCACAGAAAAAAGAAGTCTTGTCCTTGATGTAAACTATCCCACAGTCAATTTCTGTGGCAGTCACAGCCACCATACTGCAGAAATTCCTCATTTGGGCGGCTCCAGCTCCTCACAGAGCCCTCGCTCACACACTGACCCAGCACATGTTCTGGAGCAGGATGTACCAGTCCAGACACACGTGGTGTCCTGTTTTCACACCTCCCAAGCACATATTTGCATGATACTCCCCCACCAAGCTCCTGGTCATTCTGCCTTACCAATTCACAGCACGTTTATGACCTTTTTTCAGTGTATGGACCAGATTTATCAATTCATTTGTGATAAAATGTCAGTCATCTGCTCAATTCAGTACTACAGAAAAGCTCCAAGAGCACACAGACACTTTACACAGCACTGAGCTGGACATTGTTTAACTGTAAAATCAGAGATCTGTAAACTCAAGGCAGTGGATTGCTGTGCAAGACGTGGCTACACTTTCATCTGATTTTAAATTACCACGGATTTTACTAGAAAATTTATCAGCGAAAGTATTACTTTGAAAGTTTTACTCCTGTTCTTAAAGAATAATCTTACAAGAACTGATGTAAAAATACAGTTTGTTAATGAAGCCATGTATGTCTGTACATCCTTGCACACAAACTTTCCAAACCTTAAAATGACTTAAATTTCACAGGAAAAGGGTCTGGAACGTTCACTGCGGGCCACGGAGCAGCAGTACCACATGCAGCTACAAAATTTGGAAGGTGAAATTGAAAGCTTGGAGAAAGAGCTGTTGGAAGTGAGAAGAGGAATTGAGAAACAGCTTCGAGAGCATGAAATTCTCCTGAACACGAGGATGAAGCTGGAGGAGGAGATAGCGACATATCGCAGTCTGCTGGAGCAAGAAGAGAGCAGGTACTCGCTGCTTAGAGAAAAAGATCTCAGATTTGTCTTCCACTTCTGAAGGTCTCAAATAATCAGAATTGTAAAGACATGAACTAAACATTAAAAACTTACAGTATAAAACCTTATTAAAGGTTTCATTATAAGGTAGCTTCACTGAGTGGAGTTTCTGGTGCTCAGTGTCTCACACACATGGCAGAGAGCAGCTCAGTCACTCAGCCTCACTGTGGGTCACTGGGGCCCGGTGGCCCTGCAGG